GTTAGTTAGCAAACAAAGGTAGATCGTAGTGGCTACAACAGTCAATAAAGTGGATTGCGGGTGCATAAGGTTAAAGGCAGAGGGGCGACTGTTGGTGGCTACACTTGTTGCTGTGGTGGGGTGGCAACAATTTAGGGTTTTTTAATCAAGCTCGTTTAGTTCGAAAGAATACAAGAGTCGATTGAGGTATTCACTTGATTGTTGGCATTACATCTACCTTAGTTTTTAAGTGGATTATATAGTCTTATGCTTTAGTTTAAGTTTGGGTTGTTTATCTTAGAATAAACAAAGATATAAAAGGATCTAATAGTAAATAATTTTATGTTGATTTACTTTTCCCCTATTAATGTGTTATGGTCAATTACTAAATGAAAAATGCATTACTATTTTCCCATGATAAAGAATAGTTTAAATTTTGGACAATAAGTTTGGTCATGTCGAGTCCTACACTTCTGTGAAAAATAATATAATTTTTTATAAAGTATAAGTGATTACTAAAGTTCAATTATAAGCATATGGGGTGGCTATCGAAAAGCTCTAATAATGTTTTTTCTCTCTAGGTTTGAGAGTGGCTTTCTTCTCCTAGTGTTGGGAGTCAAACAATCCTTGTTCCTCTAGTTTTCACTCAAAAACTCTTGTTTACGACCAAAGCAAATCCTGACATCGATGACTAAACCAAGCATCAAAGATCTTATGGTGGCTCTTGGAGGCAAGTTGTCACTAACGGTTGAAGAAGATGTTGGGCTAGATCTCGATGCTGACAAGCAAAACAATCAGCCGATAGAGGCGGCTAAGTGGTGTTTGGTCCACACGCTCCTGATAAGGAGTCGATACAATCTGAAAGCACTAAAGAATATGCTAGCCAATGTATGGTGGCCTATAAAAGGCACACAGATGCAAATCTTGGGTGAAAATCTCTTTGCCTTCTATTTCTTTCATCCAACAAAGATGCAATAGGTGTTGGTAGAAGGACCTTGGCATTTTGTCAACCATACCATGGTCCTTAAGAAGGCACACGGAGGTAGACAAGTGACAAAGGAAGAATGGTTTGAAGTCTTATTTTGGGTTCAAATTCATGGTTTACCACCGAACCCAACAGAAACAGGGCGACCAATTGGTGCTGGGATGAGCCGACTTATTGATGCTGACATAGGAGACAGGGATACATGAGGCTTTGAGTTTATCCAAGTAAGAATGGGCATTGATACTAGGAAGCCACTTTGAATAGGGATGAGACTTTCATTAAAAGAGGACCAATTTGGGGTTTTTTTTTTCAATATGAACACCTCTAGAATTTATGTTATTGTTGTGGCAAGTTAGATGATGTAGATCAAGACTATGAGTTGGGACTGGAGCTGGACATGGCAGGAACAATGAGTCATCCATGTGACGATACACTCTGAGTAGTATCCCAACGAACATAACTAGCTAAGTCTACTAGCACTAGAAAGTGGCTAAGAGATGGCTCTGGTAATTATGTGGTAGAGGAGGCACGACAAAGGCAAGCAAGGCCAAAGATGGAAAGCCCACGTGCATGTGATTCTCAAGAATCTACAAAGGGAGAAAAACCCGTGATCGATGGGCTAAAGGAACACGTATGGGAGCAAATCTCAGAGGAGAAAGTCACAAATTGAATTCATTGGAATTCAATGTAAAGGATGTGATCCACAATGTTAACTTGAGATAGCATCACCGATGAAAGGTGATATATATAAGAAAGTTGATATATATAAGAAAGTAAATGATATCACAAGAGCAATGAGACTAATGAGATTATGGGGTAGTTGGTGGAGAAAGCTTTTTATTAGGAAAACATACAAAAAATTTCAAATCCACAACCAATAGATAATGGGCCACAACTATATTTTAAGCAAGAAAACATACACAAGGAAGCTAAAAGGCAAAAGCTATTGCATGGGGTAAGAACATGCAGGCAGGCTCTGCAAATCTCCCACCTTTTCTTTATGGATGACAGCTTTTTATTTCTTTGAGCAACTAAAACTGAAGCCAAAACTTTGCTGGATATTTTGAAAGACTCTGAGCTAGTGTTGAGACAAGTTGTCAATATGCAGAAATCCTCTATTACTTTCAGCAGTAATTTGCAACAAATGTCCAGGTCAAAAATCCTTGAAATACTAGGGATGAGGGAGTTAGAACAAGTAGGGAAGTATTTGGGCTTTCCAGCACATATAGGGTGATCTCAAATAGCAGCTTTCTCAAGTCTGAAAGTGAGCTTTTGGATGCAAGTAAACGAGTGGCGTGAGCAAAGTTTATGTAGAGTAGGAAAAGAAGTTTTAATTAAATCAATATTGTAGTCTCTCTCTACTTATCTTATGGGGCTCTTTTGTCTTCCCCTTACATTATGCACAAAGTTGGAGAGAATTATGAATAGGTATTGGTGGGGAGGAGGAGAGGATATTCACAAAATTTACTAGATGGAGTGCAAAAGGCTAGCCTTACCAAAGAAATATGGTGGATTGGGTTTTTAGGCTCTTCATGAATTTAACATTGCAATGTTGGCTAAGCAAGGCTAGAGGATGCTAGTTAACATTGAATCATTGGCAGCAAAAATAGTAATTGATTATATTGCTACTTTCACCTAAAAAAGTTTTTTTTGGACCTTTGTCTAAAAAGCAACATAATCAATTATAAAGAGGACACAAGCAATTATATCATATATGATCACTTATTTCTCTTTTAATCAATTATATTGCAAATATAATCCATTACCTCTCTTTATAATCAATTATATTGGGTAGTGATTTGCATGCCAAAAAAAAAAAAAAATTCTAATCTAAGCCTACACTTTATTTTGTACAACTATCCTAGATTCTTTTTCTAGAGAAAGCACATACCAAACAAGCCCTTAAGGTAAGGAGATTAAGAGAGAGATTTCCTCCTCCCTTCATTTTGGTTATTCTTGTAAAAAAAGGTAATGGAGATAGGGTGACAAATCCTTCACCTAATCTCTCAAATTGAGGATTTGAAGGGATTTGGTTAACATCGAATTTTTTACTAATTTTTTCCAAAAATATATTAAATTTTTTGTTCTAATTATATATTTTATTAATAAAATATATTTTTATTTTTATTTTTTAAAATGATTTTTTGGTAAATTCTTTAAATTATTTAGTTAAATAGTAAATGAAAAATGCTAGAAATTTTGTGACACTCACCATGTAATTGGTCCACCTTATGATGGTTTTAAATTTAAAAAACTTAACCTATATACCACTCAAACCAATGATCGAGAAATACACGCCACATGGATTAGTTACATCATTAGTGTTGATGAAGAGTGCCAAAAAAAGGTGCCTATGGTACTCCTCATAGAAAATATTATTCTCACCTTCTCTTATTTTTATATATTCAAACAAGGTTAACATTAATATTTTTCTTTCCTTTAAAAACCCTTCTCTCTCCTCCCTTCCATTTCCTTTAACATTTATCAAAAAAAGGCCAACGCTTTTCCTCAAAATAGCCTTTTTTGCTTTCTTTCCCGTTCTCAAATCTAAAGAAATCCTTGTCTTAGATCCAAAGAAGATAGGTTTCCTATATCTCATATGTCTAAAAGGGTTTCATTTTTCTAAATCTCTTATCTAAAAGGTTATCAATTTTCCCATCTTAGTTTTGCATGTACATGTATTGTTTCTTCTATCTCAAAATTGAAATAGAATGGATTTGTCTAATCTTAGATCTAAATGAGATAGGTGCATCTATCGAAAAGTGAGAGAGAAAATATGATGAAGGATGTTAGATCTAAAGAGATTATTATTTTTATCTCAAATCTAAAGGGTATGGGTGCATCTACCAAAAAGATCAAGAAAAGTATGAGCAGGAGGATGGTTGGAGAATGGATAGTGAGGTAGGAAGAGGAAAAATGAAAGAAAAATCAATGAATGATGATGTGCTAGACAAGTGAGATGAAGAAATGAGAAATTAGGGTTACAAGAATGTGATCAAGAATCGTCACAAAAGGAAGAAGAGTGGGCAAATATAAGAAATTCAACACAATATGGAGGAAGTTTCAAATTCATTTACTCGAGGTAACTATTAGCAATTTATTTCTAGTAATTATTGTTCGTGATTCATAGATTTTATTAGCAATTGTTTACCTTTACAAGCATAACTTCTTATAATAGTAGTAGTAGTAATAATAATAATAATCTTGATAAGATATCTTAATTCAATAAGATATTTTTCTATTTGAATATTTATAGGGTATATTTTGATGGCAAAAATAAAAGATATTCATAACACTTTAAAAAAAAAAAAAATCTTCAATATCAAGCATATGTAACCCTTTATATAAAGGACAATGATTGATACACTCTCTGATTCAACACACTTAACAACAACTACCGGTTCAATCATTAAAAAACTAATATTTTCAAATTTGAATTCAAGGCGAGAAAATTTTTAAAGGCAAATTTTAATGACTGAACCAGTAGGTATTATTAGGTGTGCTGAATCAAAGGGTATACCAATCATTTTTCTTATATAAATACTTACATATCCATTTTACTTTCATCTTTTGATTCAATGTTAAATATTTATATATTCATTTTCCTTTATGACATTTATTTTGTGGTATTGTTTATAGTCTCATGATTGGCTAGCATAATTCTTAAGACACAGGTCTTGCAAGAGAAATATTTGCAATAAACAATCTCATAACGAGGGAATGCTTATATTTCCAGGTTGAGGTAAGTATTACAATCACTTCTCAACAATTGTTCAAGAATTTTTACAATCACTTCTCAACTATTATTCAAGTATTTTATAAATATCAACTTACGTCTTAAGTGTATATTATCAATTTTCATCTTTGATTCTTTAAACTTTTACTCTTGGATATTTGTTTCTATTTAAATAATGGATTGGAAATTGGTTAAGAGTAGAAAATTAGAAAGATACAAATTTAAGGAAGGAAATTTGATCCCAACTTAAAAAGTTGGGCAAATGCACCATTGAGCAAAAGGTATAAAATGCCATCAAAAGTAAAAATTAGAAGACATTATGTGTAGTTTATTATAGGGGACCATGTCTCACAATTTTTTGGTATATTTGGTATACCACCAACAATATTGCACCTAACAGCAAAACGTTTATTTTTGGTATTTGGTATGTGGTATTCGGTATACTAACTATATAATGCAAAGTGTAGCTATATCAAATTCAATGCTAATTTTTGGAATCAAAATATAATTCAAAGAATGAAAAATCGATTAATATCATCCAAACTTTAATCACACCTAACATCAAAGTTC